CTTTCCCTGCCTCAAAACTTCTTTGTAGATGACCAATATTGATTTTATAACCTTATAGGGAAGTTCTCTCAATACTCTAAAGAATAATACTTAAAGAGAAAGACATTGGAGCTAAAACTCTAGCAAACATAAATTCTCTTATTTATGGAAAAGTTTTGGTTTTAAGATTTTATTTTTGCAAAGATGTATTATCTTTCCATGCCTTAAAATAATTATCCTTAATTGAAAAAAAAACGAAGCCCTATAGATTGGGAGCAGTTTTCTACACTGCTATTTTCTCTCAATGTGAAATTAAGCCTTCTGTCTTAAGCACGGCTTTAAAAGCATTTCAATTTCCCTAATACATCTTCATTGTAAGCATTGTTTTATTCCTTTTAATTATTTCATTATAGGATGAACTTCTGTCATTTCACAGGAATCATATGTTGGTATTTTCCTTCAAGTCTAAGTGGTTGTTTTAATTTTGGACACTTTTAAAAATATGTGTATTCTATCATCTATTAGAGTTGTTATGAAGGAAAAGGAATATGTGTGTATGCAAGTATTTTTTTAAATAATTTATTTTATAAAACATTTTTAAAAAACAGTAAAAATGAAAAAGAAACTATTTCCATTCTTCCTGTGTTGGGTTTCAATTTGGTCTACATTGTGGCATGCTAATGGTATTGATTCTATGTACAAGCAAAATTACTTGCTTTTCTTTTATTTTTGTTGTTCTTTATTTATTAAAAAAAGATAAAATAACAATAAAAAAGAACATGTAGTAGTCTATTCATTTTTCTTAACTGCAAATCATGAACAGCCCTCCATCCCCAGTAGTCATTAGCTCTAATCACTAAATATGTTTAGTTCTGCTTCCTGCTCCCTTGTAGTCTTTTGTGGTCATGTGACATGCTTTGGACTGAACTACCTTTGAGAGAAGAATGAACATGATTTTTGAAGCAGAAGTCCATCTGCTTCTTTTCACAGTAATCCACAGAGCTCCAGACAGAGAAAGCTCTGTAGTTCAGCATGAAGAGAGGCTAGAGTTGGATTATTAAGAATCAGAGTTAAAGAGACTCAGCATAAAATAGGAGGAAGGGGCCCTGGGGAATATTGGTTCATATTACAGTGTCTAGAGTGAAAGAAATGCTAAACTCAGAATATGTCAAATCGTGCCAAAAGGTGACAATTCCTAGAGGATTTCACAGGGATCTATAACATTAATCCTTCAAGTCATGTGAGGTTAATATCTACAATCTGGTCATCAAACCAGAATGGAACTAAATCTCACATGGTAGCTGGAATAGACAGAGAAGAGTACTCTTAGGTAAAAGGAACCCCAAGGCTTTCAGGACTTAGATGAACACCCTGTGATTCAGAAAAAGATCAGGATTGAGAAAAGGGAATAGAAACACATAGTGAAGACTGAGAAAAGCAGAATCCTAATCTTTTAGCCCGGATTCCAAGTGAATAGAAAAGATTAGTTAGTATCTAACTAGAACTGTCTCAGGGCCACCAAAGTTCTGCTTGATATCAACTGGACTCAATTATTTCAGCTTATGGAACTGACATGGGAGAAGTGGACATTTAGAAATATGTCTATTCAGTGCAGAAGTGCTCATTTAATTATTTAAAATCTCTCGCTTAGTTACATGGAAGTCTGAGACATGTTTTCCCAAGGGTCTTTTATTTATTTGATATTTATTGAACACTCGATGAGTTAAAAACCATGCTCCATATTGGAAGAATAACAGGAAATAAGACTTCCATTTTGGACCAGCCCTTGGTATGATGATCGAGATAGGTGGACCCAGGGCCAACAGCTGGCATGGTAGTTAAGGCACTGGACTCCCACATGGTCATCCACGATTTTAGTTCCAGGACCTGGTGGCTTGCTTTTTCACTATCTCTTTCACTCTCTCTCACTGTCTCTCTCTGGTGAGCACACTGGCCTAGAGAAAATCAAACTAGTTAAAAAAATGGCTTAATCCCACGTGGTCAACTACACAGAGTCCAGGACTCTGTAGCTCGAAAAGCAGACTTGGCATATGCATGCCCAACATTCCAAAAGGAAAAATGGAGAAAGGTTTGTTGTGTTACCATTTTCCCTAGGAAGGGGGTGCATTCTCAATTTCCTTTTCATTCTTTAGTTAGTGCATGCACCTTATAGCAAAATTTGAAAGAAAAAAAAAATTTCTATTTCATTAATAAAAAATCCAAAAACTATTTATTATGGTCATTTCCTCCTTTTTGAAAAAAGAAATCAGACAGGCTTCATCTTTTACCCATATATTAAATATTAGCATTGAACTGTCTGAGACTTTGAGTACTATATTTAACCTAATGAAATACAAGGTACATGAAAGCAGAGCTTTGCTCATCATTGTAATTGCAGAACCTAGAATAGTGCCTAGCATACAAGTACTTCAAAAAATCTATGGGAAATGGGATATAAGTTTATTTCATTTCAAAAATAATTCAAAGTCCATGAATAGTTTTCCCACAAATCGAGTTATCTATGATTTTTTTGAGCCTCTTTGCACAAGATATGTTTAACAAATAATAAAATTAGTGAATAACTAATCCTATTATTGCTTTATTTCTACTCCTAAATTTCTTAAATTCTCCTTCTTTGCTGTCTCCTGAACCTCTATACGGTTGTTTTACCTTCCAGGTTTTGTTTATTTGTTTGTTTGGTTTTTGGTTTTCAAGCCACTGAAAAGAAATTCCCTCTCCCGTCACATTTATATTGATAATTTAGTGGTCAGTGAGAGGTTTGGATGACTTTTTATATTATATTTTAGGACTCATTCTTTCAGTTTCCTGTCTTTAAGAATTTCACCCCAAGCATCCAGGCTGTTCTGTCAGCCTCAAACTCTGCTCTGTGTTATGTTTAGTCTTTCAGGCTTTAGTTTTATGTAACTTGAGGAGCCTGTCCACTGGGGAGTGCTTTCAGGCAAAATGCTGCAAATTCCAAATCATAACCAGTTGCAATTAATATTTCAAGAGTATATACCCTCAAGATTTTTCAAATAGATGTACTTAAGTATTATTTTAGATTTTATGATTGCTGTGTGTCATTTAATCAAGCTACTCCATCATTAACCGAAGCTAAAACATTCTCTAGCTTATGAAACTGCCAATGCCTAAAGACCAATACTCTGTAATTTCATTTTACTGTCCTTCTTGTGTTATGTCTTCCACTCATTGAGAATTCTGTTCTCTTGCTGGTTTCATGATGTAATGTAACGCACTGCTCAAGGGAATCCAAATCCCACATGGAGACTGGGGTTCAAATCACCAGCCTGATCAGCCTGAAACAAACCTATGGAGGGTCTCTCTATCACTCTCTTTCTTTCTTTCTCCCTTTCTCACGTTTTTCTCCTTTTCATAGCACATCAAAAACCAAACAAACAAACAAAAAAGGATTTCTATTCTCTATAAATCATCGTTTTACATAGCAGACTCTCTGTTTCGCTTTCTCAAGCAGGTAAAGCAAATTACATTCAAATACACATTGTTAGATTTGCTTCTTGTTGTTAAGACAGGTAGTTTAGTGTAAGTATTTGCTCAGTTTTCATACTTCCATTTGAGGTAAGATGAAAGTGTCCACTGAGGATGTCTATGATTCAAGTATTTAGAACTTCTAATCATTATTAATCATATCTAATCATTACCAAAAGCTTGCAAGATGATTATTGTCTTCATTTTACAATGAAAAAGCTAGAACTCAAGTAGTAACTTCGTGAATACACTAGAGTGAAAAATTCACTCGGCTGGTGTCTAATGGCTAGATTTTTCCCACTTCTACCATACTTCCCTTGCTCTTCTATAAAGAAAAGACTGTTTCTTAGGTAACTTTTAAAAAGAAACTGTATTTTTTCAATCATATTAAACTGGATTTTAATATCTATCTGAAGCATAAATGTCTCTGATGATCTGCAGTGAGTTAGCACCCGCTTTTCAGCAAGATGCCCAGTTCAGCTTCTCTTCCTAATCTATCTAATTTGAGCAAGATTTGTCTTCCTCATTGCCAAATTCAAATCATGGCCTGTACATTTCTGCATGGCCCAGATTACAAATACTCTCCAAAGAGAAAAAGATGGGAAAGAGAGAGAGCAGTTTACCGTGTGCATAGTTAAGAAATTGCTCCTTCCGGTTAGGTATTGAGCGTCTACCTTAATTGTTTACTAAATAAAGCACAAGGTACAGGGCTGTAGCAAGCATATGCAGAGGGAGAGAGAACACAGAGTTCTCACAGTTCTGTGTGGTCAGGGGAATAATAGACTACAGTGATACTATCTTTCCTATAGGCCCAAATGAGAGGCATTTTTTAAAAGCACATTCAGCAGGCCTCAGGCTATGTAGAGTCCCTGGATATGTTTGTGTAAAACAGTGTGTGGAAAAAAGAGGACTTTGGGGAAGTCTAAATGATCTAATGGCAACTATTTGCTGCATTCTTTTCTCTGATGGTTACAGGAACTAGTGCAATTCTGGCTGTGAGCACCTGGAAGGAAATGCCCAAGCAGGCACTTGCCACTGAAATATGGTTGGAGAGCCATTCCTGCATGTAAGTATCACCCTGTTATTTTCTTTAGGGTTTTCAGCCAGAAACCAATCAACCCGAAGCTGGATTCAAGAAGGCATCTTTACAATCACAAGCTGTGGGAAATTTGGTTGGTTCAGTGGGATCTAATTTGTCTTGGGTAGGAAAAGAGATAAAGGGAAAAAAAAGAAGGAAAAAAAAAAACAGAACTTGGAGCGATGGGGATTAACAGAAGCGGAGCTGACTGCATACAGCATGTTTGCAGTAATAAACAACAGTGTTATTAGCGAATATAAAGCCCGTGATAAACAATGCCATGATGTTCTATTCACCCTAATAGGCAAGAGCAGATAATTGGGACAAATAAAGTGCTAAAACAGTCTCTAACCACCTTTCTGAGCGTCTCTCTGAATGAGCCAATCGCCCTGCATGCTGCATGGCGCAGCGGTAGCCTGGGATACCAGCTTTTGTGTTTCACTAAAAGAATATGCTCCCGTTGCTAATGGAAAACAACAGAAGCTAAAGACGATTGCTGGGATTGTCAGATCTTTCTCTCTCTCTCTCTCTCTCTTTTTTTTTAAGTGGTAATGAGTAGACAAGGAGACAATTCCACACATTCATCAAAGCCAGCAGAGAGTTCTTTGGAATACATTGCCAGTTGAAGCCCAGAACACATCCAACCACCTGACTTTTAAATCTAAACTCAGAGCTCAGTTGTTTCATATGGCAATTTCTCTTCTTTCACTCTCCCTGGACAAACTGTCTTGTCTCAGCAATGGACTTTTTTTAACAGGTCTTTCTTTTTCTTTATCTAAAATCATCATTCTGACAGTTTCTGCTTTCTTTTGGGTGTTTTGGTTTACCCACTAGATGGAGTGCAGGATATCTGAGATGTGCTGATTTTGCCTATGTTGATAGGTAATCATCATCTGACTATTGCTTCTGTCGACCTCAGTTTCTCCACTTATCCCTTCTGAGATTACATTGGTTCACTTTTCAGCCACTGTTCAAAGTAGCAAAAGCCTCTGAAGTAGCACTGATGTTGAAAATTCCTCAAGTTACTTAGATCTAGAGAGCAAGCAAAACTAATTGAATTGGACTAGAGATGAATTTCATTCATTCATTCATTCTGCAAGTTAATGAATATTAGTGAGAGCTTAATTCTATGGGGACTGAAACTTCCTGTATCCCCACCCTTCTGCAACCCACACTGTATAGATTGTCTTCTGGATATTTTATCCATATCTTGTATAATCTCCTTTTGTGTTTTTTTAGAGATTTTTGCAATAAGATGTGTGTGCTCACTAGAGAGACAGAGAGAGGCAGAGAGACAGAAGGGAGAAATCACCTTCCAAGGGAAATAGCCATGCCACAACCCTTTCTCCTTCAGTCTCTTCTTGGGATTTTGGGCACACACACATATGCACCAGGTGTGAGTTTTAAGCCAATGAGTCTGGACTCAATGGCAGTAGACTATGTGCGAGTCCAGTGACATAACTATTATACCATCTGCTGGTCCCATATAATATCCTTTTAAATAAATCAGTAATAACCTGTAAAGGGTTTGGATTTTGTGAACTACTGTAAATTATCAATCAGGAGGTACGGGTTGTGAGAATTCCAAATTCTTATGCAAGTCAGACAGAAGTGTCAATACCCCGTGGGGGCCACCATTGTAACTGGCATGTAAAGTGGGGGCAGTCTTGTGGAACTAAGGCTTTTAGTGGGTTCTATACTAACTCCAGGTAGGTAGAGTGAGGACCAATTAAGTTTTGTCTGGACACCCAAGTGGTGTCTGGAGAATTGGAGGATAGACTGGAGTGAAAGAAAAAACACTCACTTCTGCTGTCAGAAGTCCTGTGAGTAGAAAAATATTTTTGTTTTTTTTTTCCTTTAAATTAAAAGCCATAAAAGAGCACATCTGGAAGTGATTGGCACAGAAAAAGACACATTCGAATGAGAAACTATCCAAGTTCAGGAAATTAGGGTTTAGGAAATGTCCAAACCATGTGGATCAAGTGTTAAGGCCAGAAGGAATTGTTAGGTACTTGACTCTTCCGGTGGGGAAGCATATTTCTTTCCC